CCTGACTCCTGAACCCCCCCCCCACTCCCAGCCTTCTGCCCCGACCTCACCTCCCCAAACTCCTGCCCTGACTCCTGCACCCCCCCAAACCCCAGCCCCCTGCCCTGAAGGACCTAAGCAATGTAAAAAAAAAAATCCTGGAAGATTGGCTAATAGATATAAACGGTGGGTGGGTGGGTGGCAGGCAGGCAGGCAGGCAGGAAGGAAGAGAGAAAGAGAGAAATCTCTTCAGACTTGAATGATCACGGCTGAAAAGGGGCACTACCGAAGGGGTTTTCTGGACTCCGGTTTAAAGCGCTCGTTACAACATTCACAGTTTGATGGAAGAGTCGCTGTTGTCTCTCAGTGTCTGTCAGGACATTCTCAATCCCAGTGTCCAAGGCTACATAATTACATTTAAGTAATAGGATCTGCCAGACAATTCCCATCTGAGAAACTTTCATGCCCCTGGAGCAACAGAATGGGATGAAGTATCGCCTAGAGAAGCACTTTTGTCAGACAGCTCTTATTAAACAGGAATGATTAATTAATAGAAAGGATACGTTAATTAGTAATAAGACATTTACATTTGTGGAGCAGAGCCTCCTTTGTCGAGGACAGAACTGGAATCAATTTGCAGCACAATACTGGAGCCCCCCGGTAAGCCCTGCTGCTGCTACATTTGGGAGCGTGTTGGATTTCAGCTTGGTTCTAGGTTCCCCACCCTTCAACCGGCTTGCCTGGATCTAGCCCCTGAGGCTCAGGACCTGCCCAGCATTGGAGAACCAGCACTGGGGCTCCAAATCTACTAAGCTGGGCCCCCCTAGGCTCTGGTGTGGGGGGGAATGTGGGGAGTGTCTTTCTCCCCAGTCAGGGGCCACCGTCAATGAGGACTCCTGTGCGGTTCCCGACTGATTTTTCTGTGGGTCAGTGGCCCCGAACCGCAAAAATGGTTCCCACCCCGGCTTAGTCCCTGTGCCCCCCCCCCCCAAGGCTGTGCCTGATACAACAACTGGATGTTCCATCTTAATGAGAAAAGTGGGGGAGAGAATACCTTTTATTGGACCAATTTTTGTTGAGAGCGAGAGGAAAGCTTTCGAGAGAGACTGCTTCTCCCACTCACCAAACAGAAGCTGGAGCAATATACGATACTAGTCTCGCCCACCTTGTGTGTCTAATATGCCAACATGGCTTCAGGTGCATTCCCTCTTCATGCTTTTCTAACCCCGACAACTCTCGGCCATCGTTCAGCTCTGCCTACTTCATGTTAACTGATTTCCCATTCGGGCTTTCACAACGAGCCGTGAGAGCAAGCACCCAGCACGGCCACCCTCAGCATTTCCCAAACTTCTGATAACACAGACCGTATGCTGAGTGTAATGTTCTCAGCCTGAGCACCAACTCTGGGGAGAAGATGACAAACAACCACTGCAGTCATGGTACGAGAAACTTCAGGTTTGAACTGTAAGGTACTTATGAAAGATTCAGAAATCTCTGCACACGAAACGCATATGGTACATGGCTTTAGAGAGCAGGCCTTCCTTCTACACTCAGTTAACAGTCGCCAAAGGCAGAGCCCAGAAGGAAGAGCGATACTAGGATCGTCCCGCTTGGGCTGCTCCTGGAAAAACAAAACTTTCTGCATTATTGAAAAGTTTGAAACTCCAGGAGACCCTGGCACATCGCGGAATTGCTATTCGCAGTTCTGGGTATGCACAAGAGTCCTGTCCTGTGTGGAAACGGCTGGTTCCCACTGGATCCCTGCAGCTCCCAACCACTGTGCTAAGTTCCCTGCCACGAGTTTGGGAGTGGCAGGGAGCTCACTGTGGGAGCTGGGAGACGCAGCTCCTAGTATTCAAGAATTTCACCATTCACGGTGGCGCCAAAGCTTCGATTAATTTCACTCATCAGGAAACCACCTTCAGAGTACAAAAGAGCACAGAACTCAATGCTTATAGTGTCAAACTGCCCTCCTATGAACCCCCTATCTCCAGGTGAGGTTGAACAATCTCAAGCTCTCAACTTATGGAGGATTTTTAACAAATACAAAAAACCAACCAAGCAAAAACAAACCCAAGCTTCAGGGTCACTTGCCAATCTTGATTAATTTAGGAAATTTTAAATGCAAAGTCATCTTCCTTCTCCCTCCCAAGTAGATACACAGACAGAATTTATGGTACCTATCAATGCATTTTTAATGAGCCCCTTGCTGCGGTACACAATTAAATATGGCTTTGATCCATCTAAAAGGGCCATATTCTCTGCTTCTGCTCTGTTTATTTTGTTTCAAGTGTGTTATTATCCCCAGTTGTCTCCAAGAGGGATGCTGCCAGCCATTTAGAAGAAATCACTGGAAGAGATGTGAGCGAAGAGATGCTTTTCCGCATACGCAATATGTGTAGTTTTATGCAGAGATTTTAAGCTTCAGTGGAGTGATTTCAGTCACTTAATCTCGATTTGTTTCATTGTGAAGCATCTAGAATTTTTGCCTCCCTGGGTAGATAGACCACAGTTTGTGAGAACCTCCCCCCACTCCCACACACGAATATATATATGGAATAGCCAAATGCTGACAGTTTCTCTGCCTCACATGCTTACCTTCATATTGCAAGCTAATTCCATCAGCTTTTTTGCATTCTCCTCTGACCTGTATCTCTTGGGCAGCTGTACACGGAAGAACTTTAAAGCCCCTTCAAAGTCTGTCAATAACAGGTCATCCTTGGTAGTCTAGAAACATACAGAAAGGAAACAATATTTGTAACCCGGATTTTGAAAACAGATGCTGTTAACATGAAACAGGTATTTTGTTAAGCTCCCAGGAAAGTATCTTTTAACCTTCTTAAAATAACAACATGTGTTTCCACTTGCACAATAGGACATTTTCCACACATGGCACAGCCGCCCAGGGAAAGCAAGCCAGACGGCAACAAGAACAATATAAGAAGATCTTTGATGATTGTATTTTTGTAACACAGCCAAAACGTGGGGATGTATAAAGATGAAACAATGTTAAAGTTGGATACTCACTTTTAATAATCCCAGTGCAACATTAAAAATAACACTTATTCCCTAAAGAGAGAAAGAAAAAGAAAAATGGGAATAAATGAACATTTTCAGTAGTCACAAGCCTGGCTATTATTTTGTTCCCACACCTTAAAGCTATAGATTTTCACTTATTTCTATGAAAACAGGAATGTGGCATACAAATGTAAGCCATGGCTTCATCAGATCAAAGCCCTGGAGAAAAAACTCACAAACAATAAGGCACAAACCCCCCTCTGCATAGCATTGTCTAGATAGCCAAAGAACTGCCTCAAACTCCCATTCTAGCCTCTACTCACTAAAGCGTCCCTCTGTCTGATGCAGAAACGAGTTCTTCCAAACTGCCTTTGTCTCTATGTTCAGGCTAATACGGAAAGATTATTTTAGGAAAACCACATAGTCCAGTGGATTGTGGGGCGTTCAGGGAAGGGCTCCAAACACAATTCATGCATTTAGCAACATAAAATAGCAACCAACAACAAAGCTACCAGCCCCACAAAGAGCCACTGGAAATTAATAGCTAATAAAAAGCTGACTATCTTCACAATATGGAGTTGTATCCCTTAGTCCAGTCAGCATTGCAGGTGGCAGAGGCACTGGCGAAAGGGGCCATGAACCACACAAGAGACACAATCATTTTCATGCGTCTAAAACTCAGGCAGGAAAACATTCCTCGTATTACACCCTCCCTTTCATCACACAGGATGATGGGAGACAGGAGGACAAGGCAGACACTCCTATGGGATAACTGGGGGATAAGTTGAGAGTTCTGCTATCCCTGAGGGAAGAAAGACTCCTCCTAGCTTAGAGTCAAGTATATCCGCAGTACGTTCACCAAAGGGTGACATTGAAGGTCTCTACCCACCAGCAGCCCACTGGCCATGAACAGCACAGTAGAATGTCAGTACATCAGAACAGCCAACCTGGATCAGACCACTGGTCCATCTAGACCAGTATCCTGTCTTACAACAGTGGCCAATGGCAGATGCTTCAGAACAGGGAAACGTCTTTCACTCTGTGTCTCAAACAGAAATCTATCATCGCTCTCTTCAGTGCACCACAGTGCTTGTTAGCTCTGGGAGCGATGCTCAGATTGGAAGACATGCAGGTTGTGTCTTCAATCAGGTGTCCTAGGGAGGTTCCTATACTTGCTAGGTCTTGTCCTTATTGTTCAAAGGAAAAAACCAAAACAAACTCGTCACGCATTCTGGAAGACAGCCCCACTATCACTGAAAACAAGGACGTTATCGAGCCACACGGCACACCAAGTATAATTCCGACAGACTCATCTCTGCACTAACAGATGCGGGTATCTGCAAATAAGCACCGGGATCCACAGGGCTCCCAAGGGAGACTGGCCAAAGGAGAGAAGCATGGTCCCGCCTTGACCAGGAACCAGTGCCCTGTGCCAGCAGCTCCTCCTAGCATTAGGCTGTACTGCAGCTGGGTGGAACACAGATGCACTACCAGAAGGAGCTGGTGGCCCAAGATGCTGGCTCCCGGATGCGACGGGGCCACACTTCTCTCTGATGGCTGCAGTGTCTCTTGGGAGCAGAGCTCTGCAGATCCTGATGTCTATCTGCAGATACCTGCATTTGTGGGTAGACATTTGTGTCTGTTCAGGGCTTTACAGATCGGTAAAACTCAGCATTATTTAGTTTTTATTTCCTACCTGATCAATTCAATGCTGATTAACATCTCAATATAGTAACCTCCCCAAAGCATCAGATTCAAATATAGCATCCTAATAGTTCAATGTAATATAATAGTTCAATAGGCCAATGTAATGCTTGTTTTCTACTGAAAGAAGTACCCACTCTGCTGATTTGTTTGTAAAACTTTGCGTGTGTGTAGGAAAAAAACCCCAGTTAACATCCTTTAATAAACCCCAAATGCAAACTGGCTCCTTCCCCCCCCACTTACCAAAAAATAATAATAATAAAAAAAAGATCAATGAACTTTTAAAGTCAGACACCACAAAGGAGGGAGCGTTAGGGGAGTGAATTCCTCGATGTCTCTACTCCCTCTGCTATAATGAATATGACTGAGAAAGTCAGTCTTCACAGGACCACCCCTCCCCTCCCCGCCCAATGGCCACAGAATTTTTAAAAAAGCTTGCCGACAGTGAAGATTAGAAAATAAAATATCACTCAGGCATGGGGGCATGCAATCTTCTGGCCAGCAGTTTAGGATGTGTGCAAGATTTCAACTAGTCCTTCTCACCTCGTTTTCAATGCTACATTTTTATGGGTCCTATCTTATTTCCGGTTATATAAAAGGAGCAATCTGCTCACAGCTCAACATTCAAGCAGCTCCACCTCCTTTATGCTAGACTTTGATTGGCATTACTGGTTATGAGCTTGGTTTCTCCTCAGCTCTTGTGACTTTGACTTTTAAAGCAATAAATTATGACCAAACTTGCTTCTTTCGCTATTCCCAGCTAGTAGAGCTAGTGCTGCTGTAGAGTCATGCTCTGGATTTAACATCTGATTAACCATCCGGCTTTCAAAAATCTGAGAAAGCCTAGCTATAGAGAAAAAATGACTTGCTCTTGAAGGCAGCCCTATGCTAATTATTCGGCTACTCATTAACTGAACTGAAAAAGGTTTATTAAAATAAGTGATTATTTAAGTGTTCTTTCTATTCAGGATATCTTAGCTTCCCGTGCAACAAAGACATGTGTAAAGGCTTGTTATATGAATATTGTTAATCTCAACCTACTGCATTTCCCCTTTTCTGTTGTTACTAGCTTTACTGTCCTAAAACTATAATAAAAATACAAAATTAAAATGAACTCATTTAATATGTTTGAAATTTAAAACGCATTTCTCATCAGAGCCAATTTTGCAGAGACCTCTGTCCTGCCATCTGCTGCTTTCTATTATACTAGCATCTAGAAAAAGCAAGCATAAAAGACGAACATAACTACGTGGGGGGGAAAAACCCTGACCAGCAGATTTATAAATGCAGCAATCTTTAAATGAAAGAAATAGAGCAGAAACTTACTATTTCACACTGATGACTAGGAAATCCACTGAGAAATCATGCACTTTAGGAGTCAGCAAGTAAGCAAACAAATGATTAAACCCCCCCCAAGGACACTGCATTGCAAAATGTGCTGTGTTCATTCATGTTTACAAGGGTACTTTAGATTTAATTTAAATTACTTCCTAACATACTGCTAACTATGGTTACAGAACATGGCTAAATGTTCTTAATGCATGATTTCACTACAAAGAATTTTGTTATTAAATACATGCTGAAAAATGGAATGAGACCTCAGTTTCTTTGGAAGGAAAGTTATCAGCCCTATGAGATTACTTAAGTGAAAATTAGCAAAGTTGGGCTGTAAACGCAGAATATTTCAGTACTCTAGGGAGGCTGTAATATTGTTACCATTACATGGTGCTTATATACACAAGTGGCAATAAAAACAAAATTAATTGTTAAATCAAAAAAACTAGCAACATAAAATGATTTCCTCCATAACAAAATGATTTTTTATACAGGGTTTACAGCTATTACAGGATTACATGCACAAAGTTAACCTCATCAGCCTGTAACTAATATACAGGATGACAAAAGACATAATGGTGTTCTAAGAAACAGGAGACTTGCATCTAAACTCAAAAAAACATCATGAACTCCAATTCTAAAATAGAACATCCTAAAAATGCTGAAAAAAATCCGCTTCCATGGCTATGTAACAGTTTCACATTTCTGTATGGAGAAATTGTACTTCGAGTCCCAACTGTCCGGCACTCAAAAACCAGACATGAGCAAAGAACGAGAGTGTTAGAACTGATAGGGAGCAACCATCAGAAATTGCTGGAGGCACAAAGTTGTATAATTATATGCGTAATACATACCTCACATAATAACAAGTCAATAATATGGAAGACCATGTAGAGAGGGAATTTGGCAGTGAATAGGGTTAGAAACCACTGGGAGGCATACATGTGGGCCTCAAGGCTGATGTCCAGAAAGTGGTTATAAAGGTCAGGAATACATTCCTTAAAAAGAGGGAGAAAAAGCCCATGCTCGTTAGTTTTGGCTTAGAAGCAGCTGTTTAAAAATCACACTTACAATTCTCACATCTACAAGAGGAGGGGTATGGTAGAAGAAAGAAATATTTACTGTTATCCTATGGCATTCTGCTAGTGGCAACTTGTGCTAAGGGAAGTTCTTTCTCTGGAATAACAACGGTGCACTGCTGTCCCCTATCTTAATCAAGGGTATAATAAACAAGATTGCTTCAAAGCAATCCGGGTGCTTACCTGCATGAGGCGCTCCAGCTGATAAAACTTGCAGTGCAAATCTTCAAAGTTTTGTTTGAAAAGTTCCCTGAGTCCATAGTCAAACATGATTTTGACCAGAACACTGAAAGCCTGCTCTTCAGGCATCTATCAAAGAGAACAAACTTGGTTGACATTTTTATATTACTCTGTTTCCTTCCTTGATCTTGCTCTTAACATCAAGACACCAACTGGCTTGTGTAACTGATATGGGTAAATGCGCACATGGTAACAATTGGAACTAGAAACGGCACCTTGTGCCTGCTACGTGTGACACTCCTTCTTAGCACCCCAAGTTAGAAACATGCTGTTCAACCTTACAGGTCCACAAGGGCTCTGCTTCATGCAGCAGCTATCCCAAATCTGGTCAATATCTTGAGAATCAAGCCATAACTCCTACAGATCGTGAATCCAACCTACCCCATGCTTCAGCGTAGTCAGCGAATGCAGTTAAGATATGAAAGGTTCTTTTACAGTATCGCCACATGGCGCTAAACTAGCAGTAGCATTTTTTATTTCTACTTTTTAAAAATGCCATTACTGTAACTGATGGTCTTTTATTCAGGCTGATTACAAAAAAGCATCAGTTACTACTAGGGAGGTAAAATCCCATTTCATTGGTTAAATGCAATGTCAGCGGTGGGCTGGAACAGCCCTCTGGGGCAGACAACTGCTCCAGCCCTCACTGGTTAACTGACATCAGTAAGCATCACCCATTAAGGGAGATGTTTATTGTTAACTATTTGCATCCCTAAAAGTCTCAGGGCTCATCTAGACTATGCTAGAGCGCTGAAAGACGATATGCAAATTCAGTGGGAATTTGCATATCTTCTTCCAATCTTGCTTTCGAAAGTGAATGTAGTTTGGACATGGCTTTTTCGGCGAATCCCCCCCTTTGTTGAAAAGCCTTGTAAACTTCATTTTCTGAGGAAGAGTGGCTTTTCGACAAGGGAAGGGGGGGGCGCTGAAAAAGCTGTGTCTAAACTACTTTCACATTTGAAAGCTCTGTTTCAAGAAGACGACGACATGCAAATTCCCAAGGAATTTGTATCCTCTTTCTACACTCTAGCATAGTCTAGATGAGCACTCAGAGGAGTAGTTGTGTTAGTCTGTAACTTTAAAAATGAGTAGTCCTGTGGCAGCTTAGAGACTAACACAAATATATAGATAGTATCATGAGCTTTCGTGGGCACAACCCACTTCCTCGGCTGGTTTGGCAGCTCTCTATGCCATTTTGGGATCCTTCGGTCACCCCCTCCTGCCAGCAGCTGGAGACATACATATTGTTGCTGATCAGCATTTATACTTCCTTCTTTGGCACCATAAAGCAGATCTGTTTTCCACAGCAGTAAAGACTGACTCTTCAGGTCAATTACTTGTTTCTGTAAAGGTCAAACCATCTAACTCGAGTGCTCTATTATTCATCCACAGATGAAGTCAGTGAACTCAAACTTTTCAGACAAGTTCCCATACTGGCAGTGTGGGACTTGCAGAAACTACATTTCACTTTTTCGCTCCAGGACGGATGCAGCAGTAAGACACAATAACATGAAGTCCATCTCAGCCCTACCAGGTACACTCCAAAGACTGCCTTGCAGGAGGCTCAAACAAGAGAGAAACAAGAACTGAGATTTAAGTTGCAGCCTTCACTTTAACAGACCTTGATCTCAGAAGCAACAACTAACATTAAAGAATGAGTTCTAAGAAAACAAATGAATGGCCTGCTCCTGTGTCGATGAGTCTCCTTAATCCAATGGGTGCCAAAAAGGTAGGCAGATGGCATTTTGGCAGCTAAAAGAAAGCATCTCTATTGGGGAGAAGAGTTCAGTCCCTTTATCAGAAGAAAGAATTAAACCTTTATTGCTGGTTGGGTTCTGCATAGTGTTGAAGAATTGTTTTTTCCATCAGTTAAGTGTTTATTACACAGGTTACAAAGAATCAAAGCACTACAGCTAGATACTATTGGTCCATTTGATCTCTGTTTATAAAGAGTGTACAGTTTATATTTCTGTATCCTCCTAGACTTCTTAAAAGTATGGGGAAAAAAACCTACTCTGAAAACCCTACATACTGCCAGCACACACAAAATTATATTTAGTTCTGCATGACAGCAGCAATCACTCAAAATTGGCAGGAGGAGTTGGGAGGGAATATCACAATATCCTATTGGGTTTAGGATCTGCTGTTTCAAATACAGATGTCTGACAAAAAGCAGACATGCTTAGAAAAAAACCCTAGCTAAAAATAGCATGTAGCTGCAGAGATTTTTCAACTTTTTCATGTAAGATAAGATGTTTCACATAAACATGAGCAAAGTCTCAAAACTTTCTACTCAGACGTACTTGAAGTGTAAAACAGATAAGATCGGCCTTTGTAAGTTCAGACCACAGAAGACATCACTTCTCTAAGCACAAATTGACCCATTTCTAATTACTGATAAATAACACATTTGAGACACAATCCATTTTAATATCTGACCACTGACTAACATCTAACAAAAAGCAATCCTAGAATATATTGCCCCACATAAATATATTGGGATGTTCAAGCCATTAAGACTAAAACTCACTCACTACTAACATGCTGCAAAATATATTCCTGTTTAACCCAGGAGCCACGGTAGCTCTGGTTTGTACTTATGATCAATACCAATAAAAACTTTTCCATGAGCTTCAGAGATGCTCTCTTCCCACCCCTGGATACCTTTACAAGGAGTTCCTTAAGTGATCTAAACCCTCAAATTATTTATATCCACCCAGCCTACTTTGCAGAAACTATGCCAGAGTCTTATTTGGGCTTAAAACAGCTTGGGGTGGAAAAGAACCTAGAACCAGGTGGAAAATGAAGTGAACACTGACCACACGCTCATTATTGATGCTGCCGTGAACTTGAAACAGAAGATGCGCCTCTTTCCCCCAAAGTCGTAATTACGGACATTCACTCAAATGCTTGTTTAAGCATGGGACCGGCTACTGCAGCAGGACGAGTGAATTTGGAATGAGTTCTTCTGGATAAACTTAAGCACAGTTTTGTCTGAGGCGTACAACAAACTGGAGTGGAAGGACTTACATGCAGAAGCAGCACAGCGGCAAGAAATGACTGGCCTTGACAGTAGCCAATCTCCTCATCGTAGACGGAATAGGCCTGAAAGGAGAATCGAGAGTTTAAGATGCGCAGTCTCCCTAGAGCCCAGCTGCACGAGGAAAAAAGCTAAGGACTGAAGTGTACAGTCAGTTGTGACTGGACTGCTATTACTGTCGTGCAGCTGCACAAAGATTAACGCAAAGAAAACTGTCATCTGCAGAGCAGTTGGTGGTGGCTGGCAGACACCTGGTTGGTCGTATGGTGCTGGACCATTTCCAGCTGGTAACTCGCACTGAAGGCTGCTTAACGTCCATGAAATCACTTTTCTCAGATTACTTTTATGGAGCAACAGTTGCTGTACAGGAAGTCCCCAATGTACGAAGGGGTTGTGTTCCTAACGCTGGTTTGCAAGTTGGTTGTTTGGAACTCGGAACACACATCCCCATAGAAACCATGTTATAAACCGTAGTTTGGTTCCCAGGCTAGCCCTCAAAAGCCTATTTAGCCCATGATGGAGCTGAAATGCTGGATCTTTGCAATGGAAAAGAGGGGTACGTCTACACTAGCTTGTTAGTTCGAGCTAGGTAGGGTAATGAGGGCAAGTGGAGTTGCAAATGAAGCCCGGGATTTAAATATCCCGGGCTTCATTTGCATATTCCCAGCGTCGCCATTTTAAAATCCCCCTTAGTCCGAACTCCATGCCTGCAGCTACACGCGGCATGGAGTAGGTAGTTCGAATTAAAGATCCTAATTCGAACTACCATTACTCCTCATTCCACAAGGAGTAATGGTAGTTCAAATTAAGATCTTTAATTCAAACTACCTACTCTGTGCCGCATGTAGTCGCGGGCACGGAGTTCGGACTAAGGGGGATTTAAAAATGGCAGCGCCTATGAAATTTAAATCCCGGGCTTCATTTGCAACTCCACTTGCCCTCATTACCCTACTTAGCTCGAACTAACGAGCTAGTGTAGACGTACCCCAGTTTATTTAACCTTGAATGCTGGTGCTTGAGGAGAGGCAGGTTTAATCAGGGGAGGACAAGGAGGACGGAGAACTCAGGAGGGGCAGGAGTAGGCTGTGCAGCCGCCCTCTGCTCCCCTTCTGCCACCACCTGCGGCTCTTGCCTGTTCCCTGAGGTTACAGGTGAGCTGTCTGTACGTGAGGATGTCTGGAAGTCGGAGGTCTATAACTTGGGGAGTGCCTGTAAATTGCAGTCAGGGTGTCAGACTATGACTCACAAGGGAGGAAGGCTCTGTTAAAACACGGCCTGTGCTATGAAAAAAAGTCTGAAAACCTTTCCATCAGCCTACAATTTCTTCAGTAGCCTCAGGGCGCGCACACAGACCGACCCAGTAATTCTCATCATGAGCCCCATGAAAGAAAAAGCAGCCAGCAGGCAAATGGGATTTCATACTGCGTAGGAACGCCATGGAGATGTGTCACCGGTCCCTGCAGATTACAGACGTGGTAGGGGAGGGAATAACTTTTATTGGACCAACTTCTGTTGGCGAGAGAGGTAGCCTTCCAGCCCCCACACAGCTCATCTTCAGGCCACAGTAAAATGGCCACACTGTAGTCTATGTGAACTCCCAAACGCATGGCATAGTCTCGCCCATTAGCAAACGGGCTATTTTAGATCAACCCAGAACAGCACCGTTGCCCCTTTGGTTCCAGTAACACGGTCATCTCAAACGGGAATCTGTGGAGTGGTCGCATTTATGGACAAATCAAGGCTTTATTTGGGGATACTCTTCACGTTACTCTCAACTTGCCACAGGTCTCTCACGAAAGTAGGGTAAGGAAGAGAGATACCTAACAGGGATGTAAAATCCCATTTAACTAGTTAACTGGTTAAACGTTAGCGGGTGAGGATTACTGGTTCCAGTTAACCGGTGGAGGCTGAAGCAACCCCTGTCTGCAGCAGTGGGGGACACTTCAGCCCAGCTGCACCCGCCCAGCCCACTTTCCCTTTAATCAGTTAACTGGTTAACCAATAAAAAGGGATTTTACATCCCTACTCTGAAGTCACAGAAAGGCTGCAAAGATTCCTATGCTAGTCGAAGAGCAAGCTCACTGGTATGTTATCGTTGCAAAATATACTGGATAAGTCATCAGGCGCCAATAGATGTACCCACGGAATTGTTTCCCAAGCTTTTTTATGGCCACATTTGAGATTTTTGGGTGCTATTTCAAATTACTGTGTTGCTGCTGGGGTATTTTTTAATTGGTTACCAAGTGTTGGGTGTAATTCATATTAAAATCAAAGAAGAGCACAAGCATTTCTGCCTAGGACAGTCGCCTCTGCAAAGCTCATTATTTTTAAATGATATCATAAATGATACATTTTGTGCCAGGAACTGAAACTTCAGCATGCAGAAATGTCTCCTGCGAGATAGAGCACATGAAGAATTTCTAAATGCAGAAGCAGAGCTCTGAAGACACTCTGGTCAAATGAGGTAATTGGATCAAACAGAAAACAGTCATTTTTAGTTGATAATTATCTTCTGCATTTTAATGAGCACTTAAATGGAAGCCTGCTGCTTTACAATACTAATGAGTGATGCATAATTATCTTCAGCTTTTACAGCTACCTAGATCCTTTGCAAGAACTTTGCTGTCTGTTAAGCTTGTAGCTCTTTCCGTTCTACAGGATCATTTGTTTGAGTCTGAGAACATATTTTAAAGAAACTTTTTAATTTAGCCTGGTTTAGGGCTGTCTCTCCATCTAGAGAAGTGATGGACAGAAATTAGGTCATCTCCATTTGCACAGTGTTCTGGTATCATCAGGAACAAAATATTAAAACTGCGCAGAAATATTTGCATTATTTAATTGGCCAAGGATTTCTAAAGGGTGTGTGAGGAATAAAATCTACATGCCCATTTAAAAATTGTGAGCTCTTTATTCTTCACTCTTTGCTGAACCTTCCCTCTGTTTAGTGTGCTGCTGTTTAGGAACCCTATATAAACTGAGGGCCCAACACCACCAGCCACAGACAGGCAGATGCAGGTCAAGCTTCTCACCACGCAGCTCTACCCCTAGGTAAAAGTCCTGACCAGCAGCCTTTATATTCCTTTCTTCAGCATAGACTTCAGCGTAGGAAAGAGGAGACTAAGAGGGATAGGATAGAGGTCTATAAAATCATGACTGGTATGGAAAAAGTGAATAAGGAAAAGTTATTTACTTATTCCCACAATATAAGAACTAGGGGTCATCAAATAAAATTAATAGGAGCAGGTATAAAACAAACAAATGGAAGATTTTCTTCACTCAGCGCAGTCAACCTGTGGAACTCCTTGCCAGATGATGTGGTGAAGACTAGGACTTTAACAGGGTTCAAAAAAGAGCTAGATAGATTCATGGAGGTTAGGTCCATCAATGGCTATTAGCCAGGATGGGTAGGAACGGTGTCCCTAGCCTCTGTCAGAGCCTGGGAATGGGCGACGGGAGAGGGATCACTTGACGATTCCCTGTTCTGTTCACTCCCTCTGGGGCATCTGGTATTGGCCGCTGTCGGAAGACAGGACACCGGGCTGGATGGACCGTTGGTCTGACCCACACTGGACGTTCTTAAGCATTATCCCCATTTTACAGATGGGAAAAGTGAGGTCCCTGTGTAAATAAATAACTGACTACCAGTGCTGACTACTCAACTGTTGTTTGGTTTCTGTTTCCCACTGGATGGAAACTGTCAAATATTTTAGCACAGGTCAGACAGACAAGATAAAAATGGTTCCAACCCCGCGAGCTCATTGATGAATTCTTGGTCACGGTTTCTCTCGGAAGGGTGAGCACCTGGCCACATAAAGCACGGTGGGTTTCAGCTGGCGCAGTGCACAGGAGACTACACAGAAATGTGGGGACAAGCCATCTCGCAGCTTAGCATGCTGACGTCGTGCTGCCTCCACTTCAATTTCAAAACTAGCCACGAAAAATGCGTCGGAAGCTGAACCAAACGACAGCGAAATCTCTGATCTGGAGGGGCGACTCCTCCCTTTGAAGGGGATGCTACAATGCGATCTGCAGTCGGTTCACTCCAACATGCTCTGGGTTGTAAGTTTCTATCCCCATTTAGCCCTTGGCTCTCTGCTGAGATGGTCAGCAACAGAGCCGATTGGTTCATGGGTGCCCCCCCGACCCTGCATGTCGGGGTGGGGGGACCCAGGGCATCCTGGGGGATTACCAGAGCATCTGGGACTGGCAGCAGGGGCTGGGCCTGCTTCAACATTCACCCGCAGCGGTGGGAGCCGCAGGAAGCCGAGCAGCCCAGCCGCCTGTTGCACTCCGCCATTTCCCAGCTGGGTCGCTGCGCGTCACCATGACGGCAGGAAGCGGAGCATGCTGGGGCTGGGCCACTTCGTTTCGGGACGCAGCGCTGAGTGCGGGGCAAACCCTGCTGCCGGCCCCCTCCCGTCCCCTCCCTCAGTAATCCCACAGGGAAGGGAGAGAGACAGTGACAGGACCTGGGGTAGAGGCCCCGCACCTGTGTCCAGGCCCCGCACCGTCCTAGGCCATCAAGGTGTAGTAAATGAAGGCCTAAAACAGAAGCCCATGCAGCACAGGCCTGGCCTGAGGATCTGAGGCCTAGCTAGCAATGGACAAAACATGGCTAACATAAAGCAAAGCGAAGCTGTGAGCAAGAGGCAGGCCCCAGCCCAGAGAACTTGGCACATACAGGGCTGAGAGTACAAAACCCTAACTGGTAATAGGCCCAGGTGCAGAACACTAATTGGCACCGGTCATAAGTGGAACACACAGAATATCACTAGCTCATTAAAAAAGACCTTGGTCCCCACTCCTCACAGATACAAGGACAGCATGATGGCTAGAGATGACCTAATCAAACCACGAGGTACAGGGGGATGGGTGGTATCTAAATAGCGTCAGCAGGTGGCAACCTGACAGCGTCAGCAATGAGGTGTGACTTGTTTGTACCTGGGGACACAGTCTTTGTATGACTGGGGGGCAGTGGAAATGTCCCACTGATTGAGTCATTCCATTGTGGCAAGTACATGTGTGTAGTGGTTCAGTAGAATCTACTGACAACTGTTACTGTACTTCGCTTAACAATAAACCTGGCCTGGCACCTTCGATCCTCATCTGGTTTGTGGTCTTTGGGGGCCCTCTTGGGGTCTGCTGTGGTCACTGGGCCCACATCATTGAGCACACACGCAAGCAGCCTTCTGGTTACCATCATCGACAGAGACAGAGACCTATGACACCACGGCAGTAAATCCACCTAACTACGAAAGGAGGAGGATACCCAGTGTGAGGGTGGTTGCTGCATTGCGGACCCCAGTCTGCTAGGACTTGAATGAATTCGAAGTTATTTCGTATGAGCCAAAACAACCGTATCCAATTGTGGTAACTTTTCAATTTAACTGAGCTTATAGAAAAATCAAGCAAAGAGGAAACACGACAAATTTAAATCCAACCTCACTAGTGTAAACAAAGCGTAGGCTGACCGAGAACCCCCAGCGCGAGGCTATAACATACCTTGCATATTTTGTACAAGGAGTCTTGGCCATCTCCCCCGGTATCCTTAAAGTAATCATGAGCTGGGAAGGTGCGATTGATGTCCCGAGTGATCGCACTGTCCTGGGGAGACTCCTGTTAAAACAAGAACATGAGAGAAACGTTTGTCTGTCAAAAGGGACGCAGTTTAAAAATCAGCATCAGTGACACTGTGCTGGAATGAATGGCTTTGTGCTGGACTCAGTACAGACGAGGGTAACACAGCCTGCAGCCTGACCACCTCAGATCACAATTGGATAACCAAAGCAGGTCTGGGCATGGCCAGCGCTTAGCTAGGAGACTGCTAAGGAAAACACAATCAAGTGGTACAGGGCACAGTGGTGATTCCATAGACCAGGGGTGGCCAACCCGAGGCTCGTTTCCATGTGCTTACTGGGTCGGAGCTGTGGGGCTTTAAAAATGGTGCCCAAGATGGCGGCCATCTTAAAGGGACAGCCTCCTTTTAAAAAAAAAATTTTTTTTTTGCTCAACAATTCTGTTCTGAGGAGCTTTTTTTTTTTTTGGGCTTGACAATTCTGTTGTGGCTCTCAGCATTTTTTCCCATCACTGTTTTGGCTCTCTGTTAAATGGGTTGGCCACCCCTGCTGTAGACAAACATCTTCCCTTTCGGTCTGTGCCGAACCTGCCCAACACTACACAAATTCTACTTCCTAGGTAAACTAAGGGTGTTAGCCAATCGCTCTTGGGTAACTCTAGCCTGCCATGCTACAACTCACCCCCCAACTTAGATTGGAGAAGTTATTCTTCACTCCCTCCCACCCCCCAAAAGCCGAGACATGATGAGAGTGAAAACAGACAGAAAACAGGATCTGAGCCTGAGCAGAACATGATTTTACCCAAAAGAAGAGCCATGCTCTATTGGCCGCACACATCATGGCTCATGGAGGTGGCAGTGCTACCTGCGTAGGGATCTGGTGTAACCACCTCTAGAGCCCAGGAGGTAGGAGGAGATAGAGCAAGGCTACAAACAGAAGCTGGAAGTGAAGAAATCGGAGAAAAGAACTGACCCTACTTGAGAAGGCCCTGAAAAAGGAGGTGTCCGAAATGAAGATGGTGGAGGAAGCGCTTTCCAAGAGCTACGTTTCCACCAAGAACGGCACTAATGCCTCTTTGGATATGTAGACAAGCTTCTTAGAGAATTCTCAAAACGCTTGGTGAATCTGTTACCCACATTTACCTTCCTGAGAAAACTTCAGAAATGTTAATCCTTGTTCTACTGGGTTAAATGTTTGTTGTTTACTTTGGATTAATGTAATCTTGATAGATATTACAATTTAAAGGGCTATTGAAGCATTTCAAACTACTGTCATGGCAGCCTGGGATTGTCCTCTAAATACAGTAATTACTCTAACACATGGTCGCTTAACATGTTTTTGCAATAGCACGATTTTTTGTTAGGGAATGTTTTTCGAATAACATAACCGTCCCCGAAACAACACAAAAATCATCAAGTGGCAGACTACTTCGCGCGGCGGTACACGTTGGTGAAAATAGTGGTAATATGCATGTGCGGATAAATACACGTGGTCACAGCACTCCTCTGCTCACTCACGTTTAATCTTTGTGTTTTAACAAACGGCGGTGGCTTGTGTTGCAACTATTTTTTTAATGCGAGTAGCTCCCAAACCACCCCCCCACCAAATTTACATCTGCGGCTCACATTGACAGCGGCATACGATGCAGACTCCACTCGTCATCCCAAAGCAGGAAACGCACAAGGTCAGGCAGACTCGCCAGTCTGCAGCTGCTGCTTGAACTGTGTGCATCTCCGCCACAACAGTCTTCACTTTTTAGTTATTTTTGTGCATTATTTAACTATTTAGTTTATTTTTCCTCCATTTCCATAGTCAATTCTGGTATTTTTAGGGTATGAAATGGGTTTCCAGGAATGAAACCGCCATTTCTGCTCTACTCTGCGCTGGTTAGGCCTCAATTGGAGTATTGTGTCCAGTTCTGGGCACCACATTTCAAGAAAGATGTGGAGAAATTGGAGAGGGTCCAGAGAAGAGCAATGAGAATGATTAAAGGTCTAGAGAACATGACCTATGAGTGAAGGCTGAAGGAACTGGGTTTGTTTAGTTTAGAAAAGAGAAGATTGAGGGGGGACATGATAGCAGTTTTCAGGTATCTAAAAGGGTGTCATAAGGAGGAGGGAGAAAACTTGTTCATCTTGGCCTCTGAGGATAGAACAAGAAGCAAGGGAGGTTTAGGTTGGACATTAGGAAAATGTTCCTAACGGTCAGGGTAGTCAAACACTGGAATAAATTGCCCAGGGAGGTTGTGGAATCTCCATCTCTGGAGATATTTAAGAGTAGGTTAGATAAATGTCTATCAGGGATGGTCTAGATAGTATCTGGTCCTGCCATGGGGGCAGGGGACTGGAGTCGATGACCTCTCGAGGTCCCTTCCAGTCCTAGTATTCTATGATTTATAACAGTGCGCCTATGGGAAATAAGGGTTCGACTTATGATGGGTTGACTTGTGATTAGGTCGTAAGTGCGGGGGTCACCTGTAATCAGGACGTGGGGGAGAAGCCTTCCCAAGCGTTTCTCATGCTGGGAAACTTTGGAAACGCTCTGCTAGAGCCACTCACTCATTTATCCGCCTTACATCTACAGATCTACTTCAAACACACCTCCCACAGGAGATCTAGACTCAGACCGCTTTCCCCTCAGCGCCTCCCCTCTGAGGGGGCTGGAGTGGCTGGCAAACAAAACTTAGCTTCCCAACTATTTTGTCGGGGAGCAGGTGCTGTACCCTTTGTCCAACAATCAGAGCACACAGCCAGAAGGCAAGGTTCCTGCATTCGGCTGCCTCTTATATGGTCACTTTTGTCTGATTGTTTCCTGCTGCTCTGTCAGACTGCATCCACCTGCCGTCTCTTGTCTTCTACTTGAATGATAAGCTCTTTGGGAGGAAGGACCATCTCCTCGCTCTGTGTCCCGGTCTCTGATTAGGGCTCCTAGGCACTACGTAATGCAAACAGTTGTGGGCATTTCAGTACCAAAAAGAAAACTGCACATTGGATGGGATTCAGGAACAAGCAACTAACCTGGTAAAAGGACTCAGACGGAGCTGAGGAAGGGCTCAGTGACTATGTAGAGTGAAGGGTGTCACCAGCTAGAAGAGGATTTTGACAGCAAAGACTAGGAGTGATGGAATAAAACTAAATAGAGAAATTGAGATGAACAGTGCAACCAATTAGAGAGTAAATATCGCTCTAAGAAACTGGCAGCGACTTCCTGAAACACCCCACAGTGTTACCAAGTGATCTTGCTAATCACGGGCTAGGCTTTTGCTCACTCCCTGAGGCAGGTGACTTGTTACCTCACCTGAATTTGAGCGGGTGAGAGGAATATTTGGGGAGAGAGGATCTAGGATGTGAACTGAGCAGGCTGGAGGGAAGAATCCTAGGTGCAGCCAAGCTTGGAAGAAGGTAAGAACTGATCTGTGTGCATGTCTATTCTTTACTACTAAAGCCAAGCCCCAGAAAGGGGAGACTTTGTATTCTGCATACTGGCTCAGCATTCCTCATAGAGTAGACTGGGATTGGCCCCTGCAGAGACTCCCAAGCTGTTGGTGTCAGTATTCCCAAAGGCAAGGACAGCTGAACTTCTTGAGCTGTTTCCTCTCTCTTTTGGCCACCACATTCCGCAAACCATCCCCAGCGTAAAAATTCAAGACAGAGCAAACAGCCCTGCTGAGAAAGCTGAACAGGCTTTGCAAATTGGGAAGCCATACAAAGAATGCTTTAATTTTGAGGGTTGGCAAACAGGGTCTATGGTTAGGAGCCAGTCGCAATGACTCCACATACACGTGCCTTGCTTTGTACGGAAAGTGGCAGCGAAACACTTATTTTTTTAAAAGAAACATACCAGGAAGAAAGGGGGGGAACGGAGGGCAGGTGGAGAACGAGGTGGAAAGCACAGTACTGAAGGGAATTCTTGGCTCCCCAGAGCCACAGATCAGAAAAACGGGAAGCTTTTCTGGCAATAGTCGCCAATATGACTTGGAAGGCCAAGTACCTCGTGCTTTGTGGAAGGAGTAAACAACAGTACTACCCAGAAGCTGAATGCATCCTCACAGCAGAACCATGTGAGCCTACCCTGCCACTAGACAACGAGAATCACTCACTTGCGCGATCTTCAAAATGTTTTACGATGCATAACACGCCATCGGCAGTTTTACTTCCTCTTCTGAATCTGTACTCATCACTCTCACTCACTTGTGATGTTTCCTAAAGGGAATTCCAAAATCCGTGCTCCAGCTGAACTTTGCTTTAAAAGTAGGAAGGTTGCTAATATTGCCCAGTTTGTTTCTGTCTGAGTAAATATGCTGTACTTGGCGTTTCTCTTGCCGATATTAGCTCAAATCAGATAACGGATCAAAATCCTTCAAATAGGTACCAATTTTTTAAAATATAACTGCTTCCATCAGCAGTCACATTTGTTCACTCTCCATCTTATACACTGCTTTGTTGCTTGGTAATTTCATTAACACAAGGAGGATGCACATGGGAGCAAAGATCAGCAGTGCAAGTGTTGAGAAGAAAGTGAGATGCGCATAGAAAGACCAACAGGTTCATTCAACCTCATGTGAGAACTCGCACATTGTTGGCCTGTATATGCCACCCTTCAAAACAGAAACAAGTGTGCTAAATAAGTCACAGCAAGAGTGTGAATTGCAATCAGAGGCAGGGGGGTTAGCAAATGGTGCCATATGTAAATCTCTTCTGGACGAGAACGCATTCTCCTTAATATACGGCCACTCGTCCATGTGGTATCTTAGATTGGGGAGGGAGGGGGGAGAGTCATGTCCTATCAATTAGCTGAATACCATGACTAGTATCGTCACCAAAATGCATGAGAAGTAACCAGATCTTCTTATTCTTGGTGGACTTCCATTTGTCTATATAAATTATCTCATTTCAGTACTGGAACAAGGGGTGATGGATAGGAGTAGTGCTGGCCAGCACCCAGTGACTAAGGGGTTAAACTCAGGTAGCTAGCAATGGGGTGGGCAGGAAGCCAGGAGAACCAATAGGAATAAAGTGCTGAAATGTGAATTGTATAATG